TAGCCACTAATCAGCAGGAGAGATCCTTCTTATTTATAGTCAACTCAAACCATTGAGAAGACAGGTCATCCTTGACCTACAGTTGTCTTAACACATGAACAGGATCACACGATCCAAGAAAACTGGGGTTACACAGGTTCGACAGCATTCAGCCGCCCCAAGATTCATAGGTTTTTCACTCGGCACATGACCAAGGAGGGTAAAGAAGAGAAAAATAGGGAGAACTGTACCAGTTGTAGCTATTTTGTAGTCCAGAATCAGATTTCTGTTCTGCTAGTCTGTTTGATCTGCTCTTTGGGTTGATCGATCTGCTCTCTTTTAATCAACATTCCCGCTCTGATACCATCTTGACAGTATGGCCGGCCAGAGATAAGAGGAAGAGAAGAGAAGAGAAGAGAAGAGAAGAGAAGAGAGGAGAGAAGGTTTTGCAATGTAACAGTACTGGCGGTGCCAGTCTTTATTTTACTATATATAGGGCGACATAAATAACAAGGGAAAAGACCCTTGTGCCCCTGAGTACAATAACAGACATAACAGAAATAAAAAACGAAATAAAAAAACACTTTAATTAGCCAAACAGGCCCTAACATCTGCAACTAAGTTATTTTAACATTATTCTAACAGTTATCTTCCATTTATCTTTATATTGTATTATACATAATTACATGTTCTTTAATTTGGTAACAAAACCAACTAAGTTATATTAGAACCAGTAAAGGAAACAGTACACAATGAGAGAACAGCTATAAAGAAAAAAATAAGCAGAATGCTGTCTTCCTACAGCCTCACCAGACGCTCCACAGTCCACACTAAGCTCCCATAAGTGGGAATGGTAGAGCTCCAATACAACTTTTTTTTTTTTTTTTTTATCAGTGCTCCAATACAACTCCTTGGCAACACCACTCTTAGCCATGGTTAAGCTAAAGATTTCTCCTCTGTAAGCTGATAATCTGGCTTCCCTAATACAAAAGCAATGAACCCAAGGAACTTGAGAATCAACCTCCACCTCCAAGCAAGTATATCCCATGGAAAAGGCAATACCGATACTCTCAATAGGGATAGTAACTGAACTCTAATGGAGTCTTCCCATCCCACTAGGCCTGGAAAAATCTATAGCTTTTTGTGATCAGTAACTGTTTAAAATTTATTGATAATGAATATGAGAATTATTCGATCTGTACAAAGCTGGTTTCCTTTGATGTTGCTAGCCTTGGCTAACCACTGTAAAACACTTTTTGGCCAGAACAATTACAATTCCCCTCTTGGTTATGATGCCCCAGAACATTTGATTCCTTGTTGCTGCTTTCTGGCCACAGTATCTTCTAAGCTATTTGAAGACTGAGGGACCCAGTTGATGCTTTATATATCTCCTTAAGTAGCTCTTTAATCTCCATAAGAGCATGTCTATACAACCAAGATCCCTCCTTATCTTTCTCAGAAACCCTGTATGACACATGAACTGCATTTGATAGAGTTTCCTATAGTTTAATAATTTTGCCCTTCTTACTCCTTGTAATACCGCCTTCTATTCTGCCCTGGTTGAATCGCCTAGCCCTGTGGGACCAGGATAAATGGCTAAAATATTTCCTTCACCATTTCTGAACACTCCCTCAACCCCAAAATTCTTGGGTTACCCAGGCTGTAGCTATCAAAATTCAAGTTAATGAATTTGGGGGTTTGACAGTTTGGCAATATATTCTACTATTTACCATACCTATACGATTTTGTCATGTTGATACCAATACTTTAAAATAATGAAGGAGCTGGAAATTGCAGGTTATCAAGTTTAAAAATAATTTCCATCCAGTACCCCTTTCTTGCTGCTGTATCATCGGTAATTTTCATTGAATTTATCTTCTAAATGCATCTGCAGAAGGCTTGCTATACTTGTTCCCAGTCAGTTTCAGAAGACTCAGTGGCATCAAATCTAAGTAAGTCAGTATTAATGTTTCATGTTACTTCGGTGATGATTGATCAGGTTCAAAATCTTAATGTAATCTGAATTTTTTCTTGTCATATTTGACAGTTTCTTTTTCCTTTCAGCTTGGCCATATTTGATAGTTTTCAGTATAATTTTATCTGCTTCAACATGTATACTTCTTATCCATATTTATATTTTAGTTTGTTGGTTATTAGAAGTATGACCTATTTAATTACTAAATAGTTCTTGTATTTTGTTTCTTTTGTTCATGCTACTTGTTGCAACTTCATAAGGTGGAAATTGTTTAAATTTGGTCATAGATTTATTTGCATGCTCTCAAAAATATTTTAGTTAAGCTGCTGATTTTAAGATGTTCCATTTTACACAGTTACTGGACTAAAATGTTAATTATGGATCTTGTGTTGATTCTTGATGCTGTATGAAGTTGATAGATGTCTCTTATGTGTTTGGAGAGTAATTAATGGAATTACTGGCTTCTAGTATGGTGTCCTTCATGGTCATGTCCCATTGGTTTTTCTGCTATATTTTCCTTCATAAGAGTTTTTCAAATCCTGAATTTATTTGGAAAACTGTGTGACATGTATAAGTGCCACATCATTTTCTTGATTATCAAGGTGGCTAGGCAGCACTTAGTTGTATTGGCCTTGACAGGTGAAATGTTGATTAGCCAATTTCTAAGGAAAAGATTGAGGAAGGGGGAAATTTTTTCTCTGGCAACTACTTCAACTTGGGTTCAGAAAACAGTTCATTGTTCTCTCAATGCTTTTTCAACTCCATTCTACATGTTGCAAGAAAGCCAACTAAAAAGTGAATTTCATACATCCAGCCTGAACCAAGAGAAAGGAGAACAAGAGGGGGTTTGATGAGCCATATCCCTTAAGGCTGTTGGATTGGTCATTAACCTAGTTGCAAAACACTGAACTGGACCTATGAGCTTATGATAATCCAATCCAAGAATTTGAAATATTTAAGAGTTTTTTTTTTTGGGGGGGGGATTTCCCTTCCATTTGTGCAGAAAGTTGGCATATTGATCCTCATGCAAGCCTCATATGTGCAAATATCAGGCAACATATGGTTGTTTGATAGTCTAGGCCACTCCTTGGCTGGGCTATGGCACAGAAATCTGATGTAGGTGATCCTTGTTTGTTGGCTAATGGTTGGAAAAGAATTCATATGTTTTTCATTTGGTAGTGTTGTGAAATTGTGTTTAAGAAACAAAATATCTGGATGTATCTAGACCATAGTACCCATTCATGTATCAAATGGTTTGTTAATATCAGTGACTGTTTTGTTGCTTTTTCAGTTGACTTTTATTTTATTAACTTGATTCCAGGCGCATCTCTCTCTCTCTCTTACACACACATTAATAAAAGTTGAACCTATAAAAAATTATGAGAAAGCAAAAAAGACTCTGACTGAAACAGACTCTTCTGTGTTTGTATAGCTCTGCGTTCTGCAGTTCAGGCATTTCGTCGGGAAGAAGAATTACAGTCTTACAGGGCATCCAAAAAAAGACGTGAAAGATTTGAACAGGTTTGCCTTCTCTATGACCCGTATTTCTAGCATTCAAAATCTAATTAGAATATCCCTGAGTACACAATTCATTCTTTAATTCAGTTTCTTCATTTCTGCAGGATAAGTATGGTTATGGTGACCAGTTCCCTGCAGATTCAAGGGGTAGAGGTGTTCAGTTTCCATTTGCAGTTACTGACCGGGTTATAATAAAGGTAGTTCTTATAGACCATCACAAGTCTATTTTATTTTAATTTTTATATTCTATGCTCAAATTTGGGAAGTAATGCTCGGATACAAACCAGGGTAACAAAAGGACACCACAGCGCTTTGTTGGACGTGAAGCTATTGTAACTACTCAGTGCTTGAATGGATGGTTAGTTAAGCTCTTTAGTTTTGTTTTCCCTCACATGTTTTTACATGTTTATCATTATCATAGATTCATAGTAAGCATTTTTTGTTAAAAGAAGAATGGTGGAAAGATGTCAACTGTGTTCCTTAATTTCCTAGGTCAATTTATCATGTTAAGGTCAGAATTATGCAAATATATTGCCGTATACTTGTATTCTAGTTTGTTGCATTTACTTTGATTATGTTCCCTGCCCCTGGGTGCAATCATGGGCTGGGCTGGGCCAGGAATGATCTCCCTTACTGTGAACTGAGTCGTCAACCTTGTTATCTTTACGACATTCATACCAATATAGGTGGTAGATTGGGGTTTTATGCGAGTCTGGTTGAGTGGATGTCGGCTGACATCTTGCTTGCTCATAAATATGATGCGTCTAATAGTACTGTTCTGATCTCAGTTTGATCCTATACTGAGAATTATGTTTTTGGGATATTATGATTATTATTATTATTATCTTTTCCGTTGTTTGAAGTATATTTCCTTGCATACCTCTTAGAGTACTTGGTTTGGTTGATGCAGGAACTTCTATGGAAGTTCATAGAAGCATTGCAGAAATTACAAAAAAAAAATGTGAAATATAAAGTAAATGTTAGGAAATGGTACATACTCAGAAATCATTTGTAACAGAACTATAATTTCAAATTGGGAAAACAAGTAATAATAGCAATTAAGTATGCTTTTGCATATTTCTGAAAATGAATGTGAGGATTGTCATCTTAGGTGATGGGGGTGAACAATTTGTGAGAAACTGAGAGCAATCTAAGCATATGGGTTGGTCAAACCTGTCCTTAGATACCATGGGTTAACCAATGTAGATCTAGTACATTGTGGGACCCATGGTATCGGCTTTTGCTTCACCTTCAATCACTGGGCCCACATATGGTGCATCAGAACACTCTGGATCTACTACCCACTAGTTCCCACATCCCCACGGAACACTGCCGCCGTGTATTGGGGACAACTCCCTAGGAATGAAAAGGGAGATATTCCTAATGCACAGCTGTTATGTCCGGTGGGTGAGATGTGGGGAACAACCCGTGGGTAGCGGATCCGAACACGCACCAGAAACCCAGGTTTTCAGACACTGTACTTGAAAAGAGGAACAATGCAGCTCTGATAAAATATTGTAGATTGTTATACAGAATTAAAACATACAAGTATTAGAAAAAAATTATAATAATAGAACTTTTATGTTTTACCTCGTCACCAGCTGGTCAACCCATTAGGTCCCAGCTATCTGGGTGCTTGGGAGTAGACTGGATAGATTCCTTTTTGGCATTTTCTTTTCTTTGGCCGCTCAGAATGGAACTCGTGTTGATACACTTGGCAGCGTACGATTTTACTATTACATTTACACCAAACAATGGCTCGTAAACAATATAGAAATTCAATTGTTGTCCACTTTTTAAATGCTGTTGGCTCGAAAATGTTTATTGCTGTTTAAGTATTGCATGATTACTAATTTTATTTGGTTCTTCATTTATTTTCCAAACTTGAACAGGTATGTTGTAAAGACATTGGACAATGCAGAGAGTGTCAAATTGCAATATCGTTCTTTGGCAAAGGTTTCTGATAACCTGACGATGAGTGCGATGTCAAGCAAGACTGCTCCAAACTGGCTTTAACCATAAGATACCCCCAACGGAAGCAACAATAGACGTTGGCAGAATTGACAGTACTCCACTGGAACCCCCCTCCCCCCTTAAAAGGATGACTGCGCTCAAAAAGTGTTTTAGATGATACCTCACGATGTAAGCTATTAAAGCATCATGTAGGACATTTTCAATATGATATTTAATTGAACATATTGTATTCATTTTTATGTGAAATGTATCTAACAAGCGTTTCTCTCTCCATGATATTTACATTTACTTGTTCCCATTTACCCAATGCTCCAGCACTGTTGATTCAATAAACTCCCCCTTTAAAAGCTAGGGAAACAGACTAAAAAACTAGAAGAAAAAGAAGAGAAGCAGGGTATGCTTACAACTTAGTGTGCAATTCAGATTTTTTTTTTTTTGGGAGCACATCCTAGAGTGGCGTGATCATTTATAAACCAGACAAGCCCAGTCCAAAAATTTCCAGGCTAGATCTGGGCCCATGTTATAATTAACTAGAATTTTAGACTAGAGTCCGACTATGATATTGGCTTTACAGACATGAGCTATCCCCCGTTGTTAAGCCGCATTAAGCGAAAAAAGCCTTATCCCAATTAAAATGGGGTTTGGCTTAGAGGTGTAAATCGGGCCTGGCCATGGCAAGAAGACCCACAGGTCGTGTCAGACCTGGCACGGAGGTCCGTGCCGTGTTGGGCTGGGGGTTTGAGGCCCATGGGCTGGCACGACACGCATGATAGCATGTGCTGTGTCGCCTGCGGTCTGCGGCACGGCACAAAGCATGGCCCACTTGGGAATATAGTTTTAGCTTTTTTTTGGGGGGGGGGGTTACAGAAATACCCCCCTAACATTTATAAACAGCCATATTTGGGGTGTATTTCTATATTTTGCTTATGGGGGTTGAAAAAATAACATAAATGCCCCTCCAACAGTTATATAACTAGTTTAGGGGGCATTTTGGGTAAAGTTATAAGTAACTTTACCATGACCAAAATACCCCTCCCAACAACTAAATAACATATTGTTTTTTGGGTATTTTGGGCAATTGAATTATGTTCAATTCCTATAAATAGCCATATTTTCCACCATTCTCATCACACCAATTCAACAATTCTCTTAATCTCCTCTCTCTCTCTCTCTCATATTCATACATTCTCAATTATCTGCAATTTGAGAAATTGTGATTAGTTGATTGTTTGATTCTGTATTCTTCAATTCTCAAGTCTCAACTTTATCGAAGTTTCGACTTTCAACAAGAAGAAGGCTTGCTCAACCAGCTCAAGTATCTAAATTCAGGAGGCTTGGACGTTGAAAGGCTTCAACCATTGAAATCAAGTTGAGACTTTGAACCGGCAATCCGAGTAAGTTGAATTAGATTAATTTTTATCTTTTTAGAATTAAAAAAATGGCCGGCTCTTCTGAAAACTGATTCCCCAACATGTTCACCATGGATGACATTCAATCGCATCACGATAGTGTTAGCACTTATGTGATTGATATTGATGGAAGTGGAATTTTCACCCCCAGTATTAGTGATACTAGGGGAAAAAGAAGGGCTTCTAAGCTATGTAGCCCGGTTTGGAAAGTTTTCAAAGTAGAGGATATTGATGGGAAGGGGAAAATTGTTGTTTGCCAAAAATGTAGGAAATACTTTGGTTATTATAGCAAGGGTGGTACGGGTCATTTGAGCAAACATCTGCTCACACATGAGCGAGAGGAATGGTTGCGTAGTTTTGTAAACCCACAATATAAAAAAGTTTCTAGGAATACTATAAGAACTGATGCTTTAAATTTTTTTTATTCATATAAACAAAATTTAATTTCTTTGTTAGCAAATCTTAATTCTAAATACTTTGGATGTTTGGACATCCAAATTTAATATTAGTTATATTTGTGTTACCGGCCATTTCATTGATGAAAATTGACTTTTGAATAAAAGAATTTTAAGTTTTACTTGGCTTGAATGGCCACATAGTGGCCCAGCTATTGCTGCAAGTATTTTAAATACTTTGCATGTTTATGGAATAGAAAACAATTTTCTATTAGTTTTGATAATGCCAACAATAATGATTCTGCAATAAATATTTTAAAATCTCAATTAAAACCATGCTTAAATGGTAAATTATTTCACATTAGATGTGCATGTCACATCTTAAATTTATGTATTCAAGATGCCTTGAATATTGTTTCTATTCATAT